CCATTAGTAATCGCAAATCCTTGGAGTGCGTTACTATCGAATACAGAGTCCGAAACGTTACTTCTAAATGTAACACGCTGAAAATACACTCCATTACGTACATTTCCTTTGGTAGACAGTTCGTGAATACTGCATGATATGAAACTGCTATCAAGGATCGCGAGACCGTTGCCGCTATTGTTAATAAAGTGAACACTAGTAGCTGCTATTGCTCCAGAAATATGTTGAACAGTCATGCCTTCTCCTTTATTCCGAAAGACCTCAGTTGAGGAAATCGTCAGCTTTCCTGTAAAGTCTTTTAAGGATATGCCTCTCCCATGATTTTCATTAAACGTGCTGTTGGATATCACGATAGAGGAAACATCTAAAATGAGAAATAGCCGTGATGTGACTTAACTTCTTAACCTTGGTGTGGGTGTGTGGGTTTTCTTTTTGTGCGGAAGGAGACGGGGCAGGGCTCGTGGGCATGAGAAATACAGTGCCCTTTTTAGATCGTGTGTACAGTCTAAAAAGCCGAGATGATGGGAAAATTGCAATGAACTCATCGTATGCCTGTCAAACGCGTAAAAAATGGTCAAAATGAACATCAGATAAGGCTGCTCGAGTGTTTAAAATCGTGTCGACTTTGTTTGCTTTTGTACAAACCTTCTTGCTTTTTATCAGGTTAATAGCCTGTACTGAGAAGCGGTTTTTTTTAATTACGCAGAACGGACAGAAAAGAATGAGGCTTTTTAAAATGTACAACGGGGCAGATGATGAAATTCGACTAATTTATTTGGTGTCACTCGACTTTCAGATTTAAGGTGTTCTTCATGTTCTACGAGTGAGAAAAATTTTTACCTTGATCATCTGTGATTAGAAATTTCAGTCTTGCATCATTGCTGCCCGCGCTGAATCGAAATTTCATGAACAGTTCGTGACCAGAGCTTAAGGATGGCGTGAGAGCCTGATTGACACCTGTCCATTGGTTCACGAACGTGAGTTGGGTTGCATTTATCGTGTTCCCGTCGTGAACATGGAACTCAAATTTTTCGCCAGTCATGGATTGATAATGTACGGCCAAATGTCGTCCTGGCCGAGTTTTAATGACCTGTGGAAAGAAGGTGAAAATTGAGATTAACCTCCTCCGAGTATTACTTAAGATTTTATTGAAATCTAATGAACTTAAATCGTTCGTCAAACATGTTGACGAACTTAAAGTTCTTCTTGCTCAGTTTTCATTTGATATTCTGGCAATTAATGAAACCAAACTTGACGAATCCATAAAAAGTTCCGAACTCCATATACCAGGCTACGAATTTATCCGTCGTGATAGAAATAGACATGGTGGAGGGGTAGGTTTTTAKATAAAGTCTRCTAATTCTTTCARAGTGCGCTCCSATCTAAWCGTAATTAATCTTGAAAATTTAACTATAGAAATTCGTAAACCGAACTCTAAGCCTTTTCTTGTAACGAAGTGGTACAGACCTCCCTGTTCTCCAACCGATCTATTTTCGAGTTGTGATTCATTTATAGGTAACTTAGATTCTCTCGACCTCGCGTACTATTTGTTTGGTGACTTAAACTGTAATTTGGCCTCTCCTACACCTGATGCAAACACTCTTCGTTTACTTGAGATTTCGGATTTATATGGGCTCAAACAACTAATTAATGAACCAACACGTGTTACAGAATCCTCATTTACATTAATTGACCTGATCTATACAAATTATACAGACAGGGTAGGCTGTTCTGGAGTGTCCCATATGGCCATAAGCGATCATAGCCTCGTCTATATTTATCGGAAACTATCTTCTGATTTACCGTCTAAGGGACACTCTGCCATCTCTTACAGATTTTTTCGAAATTTTGATCGTGAAAATTTTCGAAATGAAATTCCCCAGCAAAACTGGTCGTTCGATGAATCAGAAGATCCAAATTTGGTATGGTCAAACTAGAAAACAAACTTTTTGCGCATTGTTAACTCACATGCTCCTCTTCGAACTAGACGTACTAAATTGAACAAAACACCCTGGATTAATTCAGCCTTGAAGAAGGGTATGCGTTGTCGCGATGCTGCTAAAAGGAAAGCGGTAAGAACAAAGAATCCTCAAGACTGGGCCAATTACAGAAAGCTCCGAAATCGAATCAACAATGAAGTGAAAACCACTAAGGCATCCTATTATCACAATAGCTTTATTCAATCTGAGGGGAATGCTCGAAGGACTTGGAGAACTATAAATAACCTCATGTCTCGTCGTCAGAACAACCAGATAGTAAAGGAAGTGAAAGTAAATGACATCTCTATCTGTGACTCTAACAAGATTTCCAACGCCTTTAACGAACATTTTTCAACTATTGGGCCCAGACTAGCCCGTGAAATACCTTTAACTTTGGACGAGGAGTCGGTTTAATTTAACTCTGTTCCTGAAAACTACAACAAATTCTGTTTTCGTCCAACTACAGTAACTACCAGTGTTGTCTTTACTCATCTAAATAAATTGGCAAAACCTAAAACTACAGGGCTAGATAATATCTCGACTAGGTTGATTCGTGCGTGTACTGACATTATCTCAGGCCCGTTATGCGATCTGTTTGATAAATCCCTGACGTCTGGCATATTTCCTGACGACTGGAAATGTGCCAGAGTGACTCCGTTGTTTAAACAGGGCGAGTCATTGATCTAAACAACTACCTACCTATCAGTGATTTCCGTTGTCGCCAAAGTGTTCGAGAGGATTGTGTACGATGAGTTATACAACTTCTTAAATAGTGAAGAAATCATCTCTAAACAACAATCTGGTTTCAGGTCTTTACACTCAACTGTTACTGCTCTTCTTGAAGCCCCTGACAGCTGGGCGTTTAATATCGATCGTGGCTACGTCGATGGTGTAGTGTTCCTCGACTTAAAAAAGGTATTCGACACTGTTGATCATGAGATATTACTTACTAAAATGAATCGGTATGGCATTCAAGGGAAAACTCTTGATTGGTTCAAATCGTGTTTGACGAATCGCACACAACGGTGCTCAGTTAACGGTTATCTCTCTGACTTCACCCCTCTTAAAAGTGGTGTGCCACAGGGAACGATCCTTGATCCTCTTTTATTTCTAATTTATATTAACGATTTGCCTAACTGTTTATCGTTCAGCGTACCTAGAATGTATTCTGATGACACCCACATTACTTATGCTGGTTCTGACTTACATTTGATCCAGTCTAATCTATCTCACGACCTTGAAAAGCTAAGCAAATGGCTAGTGTCTAACAAACTTACCTTGAACGCTACAAAAACTGAATTTATGCTGATCGGCTCTAGGCAAAGATTAAGTACTCTATCTGATACACTCGAACTTTCCATTGATAATGTTCCGATTGAACAAGTTTTTTCTGTGAAATCCCTTGGAATACATATCGATGAAAATTTAACGTGGCATTCCCACATTAATAAACTGTGTAAAAAGATCTCTTCCGCTGTTGGAGCCATAAAGCGAGTTAAGCCATTTGTGCCTCAATCGACCCTACTCAATATTTACAACTCACTAGTTCAACCTCACTTTGATTACTGCAGCCTTATCTGGGGTAATTGTGGCAAAACATTATCTAAAAAGCTACAAAAACTACAGAACCGTGCTGCTCGTGTTATAACTTCATCAAACTATGACGTGGATGTCGATTCCTTATTTCACAAACTCAGCTGGAAAGACTTGAAATCTCAACGTTAAATTCAGAACGCCTTAATGGTCTTCAAGTCTTTAAACGGTCTTGTGCCGGAATATCGCACGTCTAAATTTATAAAGCGAATTGAATCAAGCTATTCTCTGAGGAACTCGGTAAACAAACTTGTTGTCCCCTTTCCAAGAACTAACTACATGAAAAATAGTTTTAGTTACAGCAGCGCAACCCTTTGCAACAGCTTACCCTGTAACATTAGAGAGTCTGGTTCATTAAACAAATTTAAACGCCTTCTCTACCATAATTTTTAAACACGGCATTCATGGAAACCAGGATTTTTCTTCAGCGACATATTAATGTAAGTTAATACAATGTTAGGATTTGGATTTTTAGTCATTATTGTTTAATTTTTTCTACCTGATGTTTTTACTGTGTTTAAATAATGATTAAAGATTAAAGATTAAAGATTAAAGATAGAATGCCTGACGTAGAAAACATGGAAGTGATAAACAAAATCCCTATGTAGGATTGCCGGAGACAAGGGAAAGTTGACAAAATTGAGGCCGTTTTTTTCAAAATTTACCATCCGTTGCGCGGCTGTTTAACGAACCAAAGAGAGCCTACACGACGTTTGCTAAATTGCAAATGTAACAAACTGTTTGAAAATATATACGTCATCGGCTTGGAACTGGCATGTTGAACAAGTTTATAGATCTACAAGCACGCCGCAACACTGTGCCTCTTTGGCTATGCAACAGTTTGCGATTCACGATTCATACGCAGGCATCATTTAGAGGGAGAAGGAGTTTTGTCTAGTCTCCTTTGTTTCGTATAAACACAACAATGGGCGTGTTACCTTGGTGCATTCAACATTCGTTCTTGCTTTACCCAAAGCCTGCAAATTGATTGGAAATGTGATAGCATTCACATCCACAGAACAAAAATCCACTGGATCAGGAACTATCTGGCTATAGGACAGCCCGTCTCCATTTGTTGTGTTCCACACTGCTGTGTTCTGAATCGTTACTGCCTTTGATCTGCCTTTAATCCGGATTCCTGCAAATTGGTTGTCTTTGATGCTGGTGTCGTTAATGGTCAGTGGAGAACTGAGATTGTCAGACCTCACACTATGTAGAGAACCTTTTATTGTCACATGTTCAAGGTCTGGGAGGTATTCGCCGCCTATGATGGCTTCATAGCCCAGGGACATGTCCACATATTGAAGAGATGAAGTCTTTTGTGTGCTGGAAAAATCGATTCCCTTCCAGTAAACTTTGCTCGACAGTAACTTTGCTAAGCTGTGGCATTCTACTCCAACATCCTCAAAATGACCTAAACAGTAGGACAGAACCCTCTATTATCTCACCAAATGGTCATGGAATTTAACCTCGCACTATCTACATCCTGCTAATCAAGCGGGTAGAAAGAATTTAAAAATACATCAACTGTTGGTTACGTGGAATGCGTCAACGACAAAAGACAAGTTACTTCATGACGTTATTACTTAAGATGTCATGGCTATCGTTACGCTTAAGCTTGATAAATGTTACTCCCTTAAAGGTGACGGAATCTGATTTTCTTGGGTTCTCTTCACTAAGCAAAATCTCTTTATACGTCTCGACGTATTCTGATCGTATTTGTTCTCTGATCAAAGGCGTCGTTCAGTTGATTAACTTTAGATCATCTTCTCTTGACGGCGCGCATTATATTAATGCTGCGGCGTTAATCTACTGCTAGTCGCCCTCTTTTCCTGTTTGACTTACCACAATTTTCAACTCCGATTCCAGGATATTTGCACTCCAGCAAACTCTCCTCAGTCCCCATGCAGTTCACATCGTCCAACCAAGTGGGCCCCGTTCCCCTGCCGTGTCTGTAGAACCTTTTGGCTCCCAAGAAACCCAGCTGTCTGCAAGCAACCTGTAATCATCAAACACAAAATGAACATAAAACGTCATATCAGTCAACTCATAAGCTCACCCGGCCAGTGCTATTCAAGATTCCATTCAACAAGATGGAGTATGATCTCGCCTCCTACCCCCACCCTCCCAGTTCTCACCCTTGCCTCTTCCCCGTTTACGACATGCGGTCAATGAACTGCTGCTATGGAATAAACTCTAGTTGCTGTTATGCTCTTGTTATAGTAGGCGAAATGGATTATAAAACAAGGCAGTTTCCCTTCGGTATAACATAGTTGTCTTATTATGTTGCACAATGCAACTAACAAACTTAATTTATTTCAGGACCCTTTACATTTCAATCTATCCTTTTCGCGCTCATTCCCATACAAGTCTAAAAACTGTTCCTGTAAACTTTGTTATCAACATGGGTATTCTCCTTACTTGTCTCTGCATTTATGCAGAGGTACTAAGGAGAATTTGACTCAGTATCTATAACTGAACTTAATTTCCGTGTACGTCTTTGTTATGTCATGAGTGCTAAGTTTAGTTTTTTTCGTGTGCTTCAATGTAAGATGCCAATCACTGTTCAATTATCTTTTCTCCTAACCTACATGCTTGCCATTGTATCGATATTGTCAGGAGAAATTAGATACGAATCACACATTCAACTTACCCGAGCATCGTTGATATCAAACGAGTCATCACACACAGTCCCCCATTGTCCTCTTAGAAATATCTCGAGGCGACCAACTCGATAATTTTTCCCGCCAACAAGGCGACTTCCATTATTATAAGGCGCCGTAACGTTCAAATCGTCCACATTTTCTGAGCTGTTTGTTGGTATTTTGCTGAAAGCGATTCTGCCATTCGAGTTTCCTTTTGCTTGCAAAGAGCCTTTCACTTGTAAAGCAACTCCAGCTTTAAAGAGCAATTGGACTCCTGGTTCTATAGTTAAAGTGGCGTTCTCAGCTACAACAAGGTCTTTAGATACAACATAAGCTGACCCATTTAGTGTTAGAGTGGTATCGACAGTGATATCTCCTCCAATACTTGCATTCTCGACGCGTTGCAGTGTGACGATTACCAAGAGCAGAAGATAAATGATTATATGTATCACTGGTGAATAATTTATCATCTTTGAGGTATAAGCTGTGGACACTGAAAAAGAAAATAAGGTGTAGTAATGACGATCATTAATGACTGCGAAGCATTTCAGCCTAGATCTATCTTAATGTTATCTAATCTCAGATAGCTGGTAACGAAGCCCTCTATAACAGACCTCGTGAAACCCGACCTGGTGGGCTATCTTTCCCTCCCTGGGTGACCTCCCTGGGACTTCCCTGGCTCCTGCTAAATTTTAGAGTCACTCGCAGCAGTTTTCGTTATTTGAGTTCGGATTGCGACTGAGATTTTTTTCCACCTACACTCGCTAACTTTCAACACATTACCACCCTCCGATACCAAAAGCAAAGAAAAAACTCGGAAAGATAAGACAGCGTCGACTCAAGGAGCCATTTGAAAAACTAGGCCTTCGGATTCTACATCGGCATCTTTGCCTGAGCTTTCCTTTGGGTTGCTAACTAAAGTTGATCAAGCGCACGCCGGAACGCGCCTAGCACACCACACGAAATCATACGTCAACAGCTCACGGCATACAACCATGACTGCACGTAAATTCACAAATTGGAGTTGCGAGTGCAGTTGGCACAGTTCTGAAACAAGAATTTTAAAGAGTTCTCAAACAGCAAATGACTCAGTGACACGAATAAACCCCAGACGATCGTGAATCCGCAGAAATGGCCACCCATCTATGTGCCAGGTGAGTCTAAGCTTAACGGTGATCTTTCTCACACCGAATATTCCGCGGGCTACCTCGTCATAATTAAGCAATTCGCGGATAACCCACCTCGAGATTTTTATATCAACCATTTTCATGAGCTCATGACCGTCGCGTCGACCTATTAATAGTCGGCAGCAGGAGCCATAATAGGGGATGGAGACCGTAAGTCTTGGGATCCGCGCGCACCTATGATATGGGACAATTTTTCTATTTTTAGAACAAATTGCGCCATCCTGACGTCACATATC